GGATAATACCCTCGGTCATTGACTACTACCCTCGGCTCCTAACAACGGAGGGTAGTCATCTTACCGTATTTCTCATCTAGCCTGCAAAGGAACCCTTTGCCAAAACCGCGACGCCCCTTTTCCTAATATACTGCATTTGTTAGCATCGGGTCCAGGTAATATGGCTATCAGTCCCGTCCTCCTCCCTTCCCCCCGACAAACCCGAAGTTTAACTAATCGAGACTAGGGCCGAGTCGAAGCATCAATGGTGTTCCTATGTTGTCCTGGCGTGGATCAGGTACTGTGATTTCATGACTAGTGAATTCTAGGAGAGATGAACAACGGTGGCTATAATAGACAAGATTAATTCACCCGTCTCACCTCACCCCTACACACACAAAAGTACTCCGGATCTCGCGCGCGCGCAAAGTGCATCGCAAGCTACTCCGAGGTAGGAAAAAGCGAAGAAAAACGGCATTGCCCGGGACTAGTGAGGGTTTCCGAGCAGGGATGTGCAAATCGTGTGGTGTAGTCTAAGGAATAGAGATGGAAAGAAGTGCCAATGGGGAGCGATTGCCACTTGACTGCAACGTCTCGGAATTTCCCAACCCGATGCGAGGGTGCACTGGCTGCATTAATTGACGAAAAGTGAGCTCTTTCCCCCCCCCTGTGGCGGAACCATACCCAGCTGGGATATACTGACAGGGCACAGGGCACATGCCTCCCGGCTTATCGTACCTATGGAGGAGAGGCGAGCTACAGAGTCTATGCGTGTCTCTTGACTCCCAGACCATTGGTACTGTACTTTCGCACACGGTGCTGAAGCTCACGACCCCCATGCCTCGACAGGGCCTTCATGATTCAGGACGCAGCTGGCTCACTTGGAGACGCGCCGCTGGCTGGGCTGGCTGAGCTGGCTGGACCGCAGCCCTGCACTTGCCACTGATGTGCTTTTCAATGCTACGGTGCGACCAAGACCTCTGTGTGATGTGTGCTACCACCTGTAAGATGCTTTGCAGCTGACATCCATGTTCGCTTGGAGACTAAGCTCTGACATCCTGGTTGCATATTGTCAAGGTGATTCCGGGACGATCAAGACAAATGAAAGGGCGATAAGGGGGAGGCGACTGACTGCTCCGATGGAATCTGCGCAGGAGCAGTAGTAATTATCTGTAGCCAAGTCGCTTGTCGGCTTAGAGAAGACACCGTGGTTAGCCTTGTGTGATATATCCAGTGCATACATGAGTTGCGCCCTGATATAAATTTTCATCAAGTTTCCCATTTCATCTGTTGGGATGATCAGCGGGCTCTACGCTAAATGAGGAGGGTCCCAACCCAATACTTATATCCGCGTGTGGGGGGTTTCTGTTCTGCTGCATATGAGTTCAGCCATGAGAAATTCACCTAATTACCTGCGCCAGCCGGAGTACATCTGAACGAGACGTCCGTCTATAACTTACAGGTAGTTACACCCACGGTCTATGTTGACACCATCCATGCACGGCCCAACAGGGCAACAGGTGAAATGTGTCTAGGAAGATCCAGCCATCCTGCATGCGCACACGAAACTGATAGGTCGAGGATGCTCAGGGGAAAGTCCCAATCGGACAGGGCCACTTAGGCAGTGAGAAGCTGATCGAGCCGAATCTGTTGTGCCTCCTCGCTAGCAAATGTTGTATCACACCCATGCTCCCCAGAAATTAGCCATATCGACTACCTAGTGATGGCTACCACCTGCCGGCATCGATGGCACAGTACTCCAAACTTTGTGTATCCCAGCAAATTGTCTGCTCGGTGGGCTGGACTACCCAAGTAAGCACATACACCAGCCCCAAAAGGCAAGTACGCGCACCGACAGGTATACTATATTCGGCTGCACATATAAGGGGGAAGCAAGAAAAGGAAGAGAAAACGACGTGCGGCGACAAGGCGATTGAGCCCGGTCGCAACTTAAGGTCCGCAATATACGGATGAGATCACCAAATCCCTACTTTCGACCGCGCTTATTCATCGAGTAGTTATTATCGGGAACGACAGTCAAAGAGGATGATGCCGTACTGCCGTACTGCCGTATTGCCGACTAAAGCCGTGATCAGCTAGTGGATGCCATCTATCCTGGTCTAGGTAAGATGGGGTGGTGGTGGTGGAGGAGGAGGAGGAGGTGGTGGTGGTGGTGGTGGTGGAGTTGGTGGAGTGGAGGAGGAAGAGGGGAAGAAGAGAAATTTGGATTGGTTGATGGAGCCGGGTCTCGACCTTCATCGCGGCGTGGGCCCGTGACAGCAACACTTGGTCCGTGTGTTCCGTCCCGGCCTCTGTGTCTGTGTGTGTCTGTCTCTCAGTCTCTCTCTTTCTCTCTTTCTCACGATCTCTCTCTTCCTCTTGCTGACTGACCCCCTCCCCTTGCCGTCGGTTTTTCCCCCTCCCCTCCTCGTTCCAATCATCGATCTTAGTGAATTGAATTTGATTGATTGCCGGGCGGAGCTAACGATAACAACTACTATAATATTGTTCTTCGAATATACAATTAGTTCCCATGTCATGAATGACCCGAGTCGCTGGGAACTCGATACTTCTTTCTTTCTCTCTTTTTTTTTTGGCGGTCGGGTCGCCAGGATGCAACACCACCAATTTGCTCTTGTTTATTGTTTTCGCCTCATGAGTTTGTTTTTTGTTCTTGTTTTAATGGAGTATTCCACAAAGATCGACCGTCCCTACATGGGTACCAATAGGTACCGGTAGGCTGGCTGATAGGCGGCGGTGACTACGATATTCTGGTTTCTCCTCCAATGCTACACACTATGGATGATTGTCCAGCACAAGTACTCCATGCTCGTATCAGTTCGTAACTCAAAAATGGTTCACTGAATGGTAGAAATCCTTCCAGTTGTATCCTACCAATACCCCACGCGGTAGTTGAAAGTCAGCATGCTCGCGCAAGAGAAGGACCAGAATGGTCTTCGCTTCTCTCAATGAAGGGTGATCTGAATATTCACTCTGGTGACACTGTCAGACGGGCGACTCAACACAGATGACTGTTGCTTCTGAAGGTCTAGATGATGAATGAATGGCGATGGTGGATAGGAGGGCAGATTTAGGCAGAATTAACCCAGGTCAATCAAAATAAATTAAGCTCATTTCGAATCGATTATTTGTCGCTCCCGGAGTGTTGCGAGCAACTTACAAGGTGCTCTGCTCCTTCCTACCCATAGGGGGGAGTCAATCCGAAAATGTTTGATCCATGCATGCATACGACTGGCGTCGGTCAATATACAGCTCACTCATCCAGGAAGTTGGCCTCCCTGAATGACTCGGTAGCAGTAGCAGTGCTTGGATGGAGTTACCTTTTTAAAGTCTCCTGATTTATTACTGATCCATTGCCTTTCATCCTCATGATCGGACTACAGTAAGATCACCACTCAACCTTTCCCCCCTAAGACACAAACGGCAAAGAGGAAAGGGCCAGGGCGCGCGCCATCCTAGGTGGGACCCAAATTAGGAGCCAACGACGACGCTCAGAGGAGTGTAGGCCTCCAGCCAGGGCCTGGAATAGTAATCCATCCATCCTCCAGCGCATTTCCGCTTCTGTTACCCCTGCTGGAGGCCTCGAACACGCGGGTGGCGCGTTATTGGTTCAAAAGAGCCAGGGAGGCGTGCCAGCTTTTTTTTTGTCCCCTGCTGGAAGGGGGGAGGGTCAGTTTTGCGCTGCCGACGAGGCCGAGGCTCCCATCGACTCCAAAGCGCCTATTGCCCAATCCAGCAATGATAGCTCGGGGCCCCGGTCAGATGTTCTCACACGGTCGGAAGTACAGCCTGAACATAGTTTCTCTTTCTGTTTCTTTCTCTGTCTCTCTCTCTCTCTCTTTATCTCTCTGTTGGTGTATATAAATGTATAAGTTATAGGTGTGTCTCATCTTGCGGGGTTGAAAAGGGGGCCCAAGAAGTAATGGCGGAGGAAAGAAGAGGCGCGATTCTCAGGAACTTCCCCCAGTATTTATGTACCCGCCGCGGTATCATTCAAGGTAGAAAAAGGCAAAAAGTCAAGAAGTCAAGAAGTCAAGAAGTCAATTAACGTGAACTTAGTTTCTTTGTCTGTCCCGTGATGGTTTAAGAACAATTTAAATTTCTGATCATTCTTCCTCTCAGTGATAATAATAAATATCCCCCAAACTTACCAGATCCCACTGATCAAAACAAGGCTTGAAAATGATTGATAACTCCATTGCCTATCAATATTAATTTGGCACCATAACTAGAGAGGAGGAATTAAATCTGATAATAATCATCATCATAATAATATTAATAACACTGGGGCACTTGAAAGACACTCAAAAATAATATAGTCAGACCAGATTCATTTGATCAGACCAGGCAATCGTAGTCCCCCCAAAAAGTCCTCCTTCTGCAGAGGTACTTTTTTAGTTTCATCAGTAGATTTCCCTCTTGTTCCTTTCTTTCCCTTCTCCTGCTCCCTTCGGGGATGGTTTTTCTCTGCTCGTCCCCTCACCTCACTCACCCTCACTATCTCTCTCTCTTTCTCTCTCTCCTTCTCTCTCTCCTTCTCTCCCTACTTCTCCTCATTTCCTTCCTTTCTTTCTCCTCAAATCTTCTAAACCGAGTCGCTTTCTTCATCTTCTCTGTTTGCCTCACGTTCTCCCCGAGCGGGATAGCCCGCCAACCTCAACTTATTCAAGATGAAGGTATAATTACGACGACCATCAACCATTAGTCGACGACCGTCCTTGTTCTACCTCTTTCTCAAGGGACACAACTGGAACCGATAGTTGGAATTCCTCCATCGCCTTCATCACACCTCCTTTTCTACGCCTCATCTTCGCGCTTGAATGCATGGTCGACCACCTTTTGCATCACGTTTAACCTTTTTTTTTGCCTTTCCCCCCTCGTTTCCTTCGCCGTTCCACTACCCGACTCTCCTCCCCCCTTGACATGAACCCATTGACCCAGTCGACGAGAGAGAGCTCGTCCGACCGCCTACCACACCAAATCTCCGCCTGGACCCCATCATGGCCCCTCAATCCATCGACACTAATGCTGAGGCGATCTCCCTTTGGAGGAAGCGTTTCGACAAGCGACATCCATCAACGTGAGTCTTTTCTAAGTTCTCTTACTCAATCTTCTTCTTCCTTGAATCTTCCAATTACCATTCGCTATTGCCCAACCTCCATCTGCACTTGTTTCCCTTCCTCAATTTCTCCTTAATTGTCTAGACCGCTCGTGGACCCCCTCTCCCCAACTTTGCTTTTTCTGTTTTGTCTCGGGTGATCTACAACCGTCTCCATACACCCCCCTATCAATGAGACTGCCCGTGCTTTCTCTCCATTGCGGAGCACAGCGATCACAACCAACCCCAAACTCCAATCCCCTAGATTGATCTCATTCCAAATTTAGAAACCCCGTGATTGCCATCCTTGATATCGAGTACAACGAGCTCGTCTTGTCTTGGAAGAAGTTCCAGGAGACTCTCGCCCCATCGGATCTTGTCCAATTTCAGGAACGCGCCCAGGGACCTGAGGATGTCTTGAGTCTGGTGAGCAGCATCGAGCCGGTCTGGACGTCTAGCTCGAGGCAGCGAGTGGTCCGTGACCAGTGCACCGAGCTGAGATCCACCCTTCACGCCCACAGCATCCTTTTGAGTGCCCTGCCAAAAAATGAAGCATACTTGTCTCTCTTCTACAGTGTCCTTCAGTCAACGCTCAAGGTAACTCATATCTACAGTAAAACCCATTGCATTTCTTGGGGTGACTGACTTTTTCCTAGGCATCTGCGAACTATCCAAGGATCATGGAAGGATATATCAAATCACTCGTCATGATCAACAGGTCCTCTTGCCTGGCCATCACAACAGATCTATCGTCCTGCTCAAAAGACACAATTCACTCGATCGCGCATTTCTACACACTATTCTTCTTCTTCCTAGGCGAATTTATGGACTGGTTTGTACGCCAATCCAAATGTCGACTACTAAAGAGTCCCAACCACAACGTGTATCATACATTCCGAGATCTTGTCGGCCACCTGCGGCACAGCGTCAAAGTAATTATGAGAGGAATGGCGGATATAATGGACGTCGATGAGTACGACAGTGATGCTGAGGATATTACCGACACGACCTGCAACAGGGAGTTATGTCTGTTCGAACAAGCCCGGTTGGACCAGATTGGTTTACAGCGGAGGGATCGCCGCCACAAAGCGGAGAACGCTTTCATTCGTCATTTGGTCTGGGAAATTGCGCAGGATGCGGTGAAGCGCGCAAGGCTCTTGAGGGAGAGAGATGCCTTGCTTGCGCATCTGCTCGATACCGTGGGCCACCAGATCCGTCCGGTGAGCCAGCAGAATACTGGCATTGCTTGCCTAACGACAACAGCTTCTAGGGACATAGGTAGGGTAACGAAGGTGTACATGAAGAATCAAACAGCTTGGTATGCTGACCGTATCACCTTGCAAGACATGGATAGATTTACATCGAGCGAAGGGGGTCAGAAGCACAAGTATACGCGTGCGGAATTGCAGCTGGCTTCTAGTCACCTAGAAAACTTTTTCGATGCAGACGATCAGACGCCCGAGCTGGACCCTGATGTGGAGGTGATCGCAGAAGAGAATGTCATGACATCTTTGCAACAGTGGGCGACCGATGCATATTCCCAGGTGCTTGCCGTGGGCGGATCGCCCACCACGGCTTTCCCTAGCCCCGTCCTTCTCATCTCGACGTGCTACGCCAGCCTGGCACGAAAGGCCCGCTTACCGGTCATCTCCCACTTCTGTACCCGGTCCACCAACGGAACCGACGAATTGACGTACGAGCAACAGTTGATTGCCCTGGCCTACAGCTTGATCCGGCAGTTGATAGAGTTCTTGCCTCCGGTGATCATCAGTCACTCGGGGTGTAACCTGAGTGCAGAACGGTTCAAGCCGTTGAATGGCACGTTGACTTCGTGGAAAGAAGTGCTCTCCTTGATCGATATACTCCTCTATCATGCCCCACCCCTAATGGTGTGTGTGATCCATGGTCTAGATGCTATTCAAGATGCGTCCACTGACCAGTACATACGCTCTCTGGTCCGCATCCTTCTGACACACACGAGACACCAGACCGCCACCATGGAAGGGGGCCTTGAGACCCAGAGCGTTCTGCTCAAGATACTGTTCACTGTCGCTGGACGACCGAGCTCGCTGGTGGAGACGCTGTCGGAGAGCCAGCTGATACTGCGCGAGTCGAACCAGACGGAGGAGCTGACGACGACCGACTCTGCACTAAGCCCCGATGTTGGGGTCGTCATGATGAATGCATAATACCAAAAGCACATGACCACCACGAAGCTATACTTCCCTTATCTCTCATCTGTCAGGCTGTTCTCTATGGCGAAAATCCGGGACATATAGAATTGTGCGCAGGCTGGCCATCTTTTTTTTTGAATATAACCTTCCTGGCGAGAGACCATTACCTTTCGATTTTGCCCTTTTCCATTTTTCTCCAATCTTTCTACTTGATTACCTTTCTACCTTTGTCGTTGAACCATGTTAGCCTTGTGGCGAAGGAGGTATGACTGATTCTGGTCATTGTCGTGTTGTCCTCTCTACGCAGATGTTCACCCATTGGTTGGTATATGTCAGGGTTGAGGCGCAGCTGGCTTTTCGCTGGCGGATGTGGGCAGAAGTCTTCCCGGAATTTGAAGGTGTTCGGAGCCTGATTGCTTTGTATAGTTGTAATACACGATTGTGATTTGGGGAAGGGCAACCCCCCACCCGGAGAATGCATAACTTCCTAGGTGGAAATTTTCCAAGTTGTTGAAATCTGCCTCGGGATTAGGTTTCCGCCGTCCACGTGGGGAACTCAGAGCCAACTACTACGACGCGCTACGAAGCACACATAACGATCCAGAGTGCAATCCCGGGGAATATTATCCACACAGTCTGTGCATTCTGCCTGATTTCCGGAGGCATCGAAGTACACCCTGGATGGTTTTGATGTTCTGTGTGACTTTCGGGATTTCAGCTCCGCTTCAAGATACAAATACGGCTTGTTCATTGCTGCCCGTCGATTGTTCTTCGGCATCACTTTTCATCTATCACGATTACTACCACACACTCAACAGAACCCTCTCGCAAGAGAACCACAGAAACAAGCCACCATGGGCGTGACCACCCCCAATCCCGAAACCCAGACCCAGCCGCAGCCGCCTTTCTTCAACCGGCTCCTCTCCCTCGACTTCCCATCCCCATCCCTGCCGGACTTCCAGCGTCTCTGCTCCCAAACCACCGACGGCGCCCTCTACCCGCACGCGACGACCATCAGCAAAAACATCCCCATCTACAGCACGCGCACCCTCAGCCTCACCGACCCTGCAAACCTCACCACCGTCCAAAACGAATGGTACCACATCCTCTCCGAAGGCCCAGGGATCTTCGTCCTCCAACACTTCTACGATGTGGAAGACCATCACCCGACCCTGACCGCCACCACTGCCGCCTTCAACCGCATCATCGCCCACGAAGCCGCCACCACCACTTCCGCCAAAAAGGGCGACCACTTCTCCTCCGGCCACAACGCCCGCATCTGGAACAGCTTCAGCAAACACGCCTTCGCCGACCCCTCTTCTTTTGTGGCCTACTACTCCAACCCGTGGCTCCGCGCCGTCAGCGAAACCTGGCTCGGCCCCGGATACCGCCTCACCGCACAGGTCAACGTCGTCCGGCCCGGCGGCCAAGCCCAATCCCCGCACCGCGACTACCACCTCGGCTTCCAGGATGACGGTAACTGCGCCCTCTTCCCGAGGGGCATGCACACCGCCAGCGCGTTCCTGACGCTGCAGGGCGCTGTCGCGCACTCTGATATGCCGGAGCGTAGCGGGCCGACGAGGTTCCTGCCGTTTAGCCAGCGCTTCGAGGCGGGGTATTTGGCCTGGAGGCGCCCCGAGTTTAAGGCGTTCTTTGAGCGGGAGTATGTGGCTCTCCCGTTAAGGGAGGGGGATGCCGTGTTCTTTAACCCGGCGGTGATGCATGCGGCGGGCGAGAATTGTTTGGCACAGGAGAGTGGGTTTGAGAGGCGGGCGAATCTTTTGCAGATTGGGTCGGCGTTGGGGAAGACGATGGAGCGCGTGGATGTTGTGCCTGTTGTTGAGGCGGTGTGGGGGGAGGTTCGGAGGCGGTTTGATGCTGAGGTTGAGGCTGACGCTGACGCCGACGCCGGGAAGAAGGAGGAGCTGGATGCGAACTGGGAGGCGTTCGTCCGGGCGCTCGGCGAAGGGTATCCGTTCCCCACGAACCTGGATCGCAGGCCGCCGGCGCCCAATGGCATGGCGCCGGAGAGTGAGCAGGACTTGATTCGGAGGGGTCTGTTGGAGGGCTGGGGGACGGAGGAGATGGCCGCTCGGTTGCGCCAGTTGCATGAGGACGAGAGGGGTCATCAGTCTCTCTAACTGTACTGTACTGTATATGTTCTCTCGGAGGGAAAGTGACCATGATCAAGTAGCGAGTTATCTACACAGGGACAGGTCCATAAGTAAATATTACTCTTGTTGGTCTAGCTCATTAGAGACAATCATCACTTCGTGAATATTCCAGCCATGTTACTCCGCCCACAAGGGTATACCAGAACGCTACGCCAATGCCAACCAATGCAGTCAGTCGTTAAAGTCATATCACCCCTCGTTCCTCGACCCAGATCTATCCTCGCGTTAGTCCCAGTGCTGCACGATGCCACAGTACAAACGACTTACCTCCATCTTCCCGAGCTCACTCCCCTCCCGTCGTGCCATCTCACGGGCTGAGCTCATGAGCAGATCCAAATCCTCCTGGTCCACCATCGTAATCATATCACCATCGTCTTGCATGCGGATCTTGAGCAACGTCCGGAACCCGAATTTGTCCCGGATCCGCCGCTCAAACTCGGCGAAGTCGATCACAGGCTCAATCATGATATACCGCGTATCCTCGTGGGCATGCGTCTTGACCCGGTACTTGCGCACCTCGGGCCGCCGGGCTCGCGAGGTCCCGCGCTGGGATTGTCGCTGCGGCGATCGTCCGTGTCCGTCGACCAGGTCGAAGTCGCCCTCCGCCGAGCCCGACCCACTGACATACTCTTCTTCCTCGTCGATATATCGTTCCCGTTGCCGAGGCCAGCCGGTCCCCACGGGCATGGACCGCGTGCCCGAGTACCCGTCCTCCGGATACCCACCCGATGTCGATGCAGACCCCGTGTCACTGACCCCTCGTCGATGGCCACGCATTTCCCGACCGCGGGACGACTGTTCCTCCCGAGGGCCGGCGCGAGCCGAAGCAGCAGCAGCCGCTCTCCGGGGCTCCGAGGCCGTGCGAGTCGTTCCGATGCGCGGCTTCTCGCTGCGGACGGTCTCGTGTCCGGTGCCCTGGTTCAGGTCGAGCCGCGGGGGCGGCGCAGCGCGAATGGACCCCGGTCGACCGGTGGTCCCGAGACTTCCTGTGGAGCTGTTGGTACTCGCCTTGTCTGCGTCCGGCGGGGGAGTAGGAGGGAAGAGATTACGGTTCAGGGGCGGTTCAGAGTGCTGACGGCTCCGGCTGGGCAGGTTCTTATGCACCAGATGCGAGGTGGCGAACGGAAGGTGCTCGGGATGCCGGTGGTCGAGCACCGACTGAGCGCGGGGGATTTCCAGATTCAGCGGGCCGGACGGAACGCCGTTACGCTCCCCGGTCGCGGCAATCAGCCGGGCCTTACCCAGGTAGTCTTTTGACTTCAGATTCTTGACCTTGGCCTCGTTGGGTCGGTAGACCACCCCAACCGGAATGGAGAAGACTGTATAGCCCTGTTTGCCATTAGGATTGAAATCCCCTGCCGCTCCTATCTGAGACGTACCTGTGCTCGTTCCTTGATTGCATCATTGATGACATCGTGGTCCGGCGTCACCTTCTCTTTGGACGCATAGTCGAGATCCTGGAGGCCGGGGCCCATCTGCTGCAGGTAGATATAGCACAGACCGCGGTTGAACAGTACTTCGCATGAGTATAGGCGGAACTTGAGACCCAGCTGCTCGTAGTCAATGGAGGTGTTACCTCGAAGGTACAACAGGGTGTCATTAAAATTGGCCAATGCTTCCTCAAAGTCACCCAGCAGGAAGTTGGACACTCCTTCTTGGAAGTATGCGATGGCCAGGTATTGATCTAGCCCAATTGCTCGTTGGTAACACTCGACCTAGATTGCCGTCAGTATGAGGGAATGCCGTAGACGAAGAGTAGGTCTTACTGCTCTGTCGTGCTCTCCCAAGGTAGCATATATGACTCCACAGTTGAAAAGGATTTTGGACGTTTCGGCGATGGCGCTGAAGACCTGAAGGGCCTCATCGTATTCTTGGTTGTCGTAGTGGTCCAGGGCTTGCACCCAGGTCTCAATCTCCTGAGTAATGTTAGCTCTGCTCAGCCTGCCCTTATGGTGGGGGGATGAAGCAACCCTACCTGCTTGATGGACATGGTTGACTTGAGCCCGTAGCACCAACGATAGGCGATCTCAGGTGCCGCAGTCACCCTGGTACTGACCTAAAACACGACGCAGACGGGGCTGACCGGTCGAGAACCCCACGTCGTAGTATATATGTCCCCGACTTGTGATTGATCGGACCAGCACGCTGACGACAAAGTCCTCGACCACGCCGAGAACAGGGATGGAATCACACGGTGGACCCGGGATGGAGGAGACTGAGCGCAGACGGCGAGCGAGCAATAGACCATGCGCAATGGGTCTCTTAGCGGGAGAGATAGATACCTCAAGAGATAGATAGATCGGATATATAATTAGATCACGGATGCCGCGACCCAGCCGCTAGCGATGACCGTCTAGAGACCAGCCAAGACGAAGGCAAGGAAGACCAGACTGGCTGGGACGGGATACGTAGGGGATGAGAAGGTTGGAAGAGTAAAGTTTCTTTTCGAAAATGATTTGATTTGATTTGCCTTGGATTTCCGCGTGGTTAGAGCTTGGACTGGCCGACAAACACGTTCAGTACTGGGTGGTGTATCACCACCTCCTTCGGATTGAGAGATGATGGTGATGGTGATGATGATAATAATAATGATGGCCGACGAGGAACGGACAAAAACAGAAATGGAACTGGTTAGCAGGTACGGAGTACCGATGCAGAAGGGAGAAAATAGACCGAAGGAAAGAAGATCAGGGCAAGACTGGGATTAGCGTGCAAAGAGAATAATCAATGAAGGAGAGGAAGGGGAAAAGATGCAATGCAGCAAATGCAGCAAGCAAGCAGCCTGTCAGCCAGGAACTACTCAGGATGGGTACAGTGCAATGCAGTTTTGGGACGGAAGGGGAGAAGGAAAAGATGGACAGGGAAGAAAGAAAGAGGGGAAAAAGAATAAAAATAGTTGGGTAAAGAATACAAAAAGGTCTGATCCTGGTCACATCCCAGCAGCATCTTTTTCTTCCAGCCAGCAGAGCCAGGGATTGGATGCTGCAGGGGGTGACGCTTTTCATCACATCGCAGAAGAGTCGATCCATCCGAGCCCGGTTGATTGGATTCGTGCCTTCATATCAGGAGATTTCCAAGGAGATTACTTACTACTTAGTACTCGCCCGACTATCAGACCTACTACTTCCAGTTAACTGCCCCGTTCTCGGTGGGAAAAGCCATGCGGGGCTGCAGAATTGTCACAAATACAATGAATGGGGTTTACCCCATACCATTATTACCACACCATAACACAGACACTCAACACATTCAGACAGACAGAGAGACAGACAAACATCGGATTCTTCTTCTCCTTGAAGTCCTTGACCTTGGTTCTCATCATCCTGCCAACCTGGAGGGAGATGATGGAGGATTATACTTTCAGTGCATTGGGAAATTTCCCCGCCACGGCGCTTGCGCCTGAGCGAATTGACCATTCCTGCCTCCAACTTGTTAGATCGACCCACTCTGGAATACGGGCCTCATTGCGCACCCTATCGCCCTCTCTGGCTCTCTCACTCCCTGTCGGACCGTTGTACTATGAACACTAGCTATCGATCTATCTTTAGTGTTCTTAGTGTTCTTGCCATGCCCTGCCCACGACTAGTCGGTGTGTCGTGCAGTTGCTCCTGCATGGCTGCCAGTCACCTGAGTCTGGGGTTGTCGGTGTCTTCTTTTTCTTCCGCTGCTGCTTTTGCTTCCTGCCTCCCAGCAATACTCAAGTCATCATTATTCATTCATGTGGCTGATAGTAGTAGTAATACTTGTCAATCCAATTGCCCATGCACAAGCAATCCCACGGTGACCCCACCCCCTCTTCTCTGTGCTATACATAGAACGGCTTATGCCCTCTGATGTAGTCAAATCACACCAGATTTCCTGCCAAACCCGCCATTATCAGATCCCTCTATACCATTCCCTGGGAGACCTGCTCCTGCCGCTCCTGCCAAACGTTCTTACCGGAGCAGGAACAGACCATCTTGTCGTTATCCCACACCCCCGCGCTACGAGCGATGACCCCAACCAATGTGTTCGAGTCCTCCCGATCAAAGGGGCCCTCGGCATTCTTTGACACCACCATACTGCGGCCAATCATCTCCCAAATCGCGACCGGTCGATCCAAAAAGACATTGCCTCGTCCCTTTTCGTCAACCTCCACTGACCCAAAGACCCCACGTGGTTCCTTAGTGGGCTCTGTCGAGCCCAATACCTTGGCCTTGACGGCCTCCCAAATGCCTCCCGTCGACGCTGCTCCTTGCGAGATATCGCCCGCCTCGCGCACGGTCGCCACGTACTTGCCCGGGGCGAGGCCATTGATCGTCAGATCCACCAGGGTCATATTGGACGACACCTGAACCATGCGTGCCAGACCGCGGATCTTGTTCGAGACGGCAGTGGAATGTGTTTCGAGGATGCACACCGCGGAACCTGGATGCAAGAACAAAGAAGATCACACCACCGAAGTTAGCATAATCCCATCCAACCCGGCTTGGCACATCACATAAGAAAGGGGGGAGGGGACAGAGCACGTACTGTTGGAGGTGCCACTTCCTCGCAGGATCGCATCACGACCCGTAGCTTGGATGGCGGTGACAATGGAGCTGGGCGGGGCGGTGCCCTCAATGAAGACTAATTGATCCTTCAGGCTGGCCTCAACCTTGCTGATCCCTAACACAGGTTCTGGTTAGAGCTGCGTGGGCAACTGGAGGGGGAACTGGCTGTCATACCGTCCAACTTCTTGAGCGACGCGGAGACATCTTTAACGCAACCCTCGCAGGTCATCGGGACCGCGAAGGTGGTCTGGATCGATCAGAACTGCGTGACGCATGGCGTAGAAAGCAGCAGCACCTACCTGGAAAGGTTCAATAGTCATCTCGTCTAGTAGTGCCCTTAGATCTCCAGTCAGTAGTAATGCAGCAGCAAACAAAATCACAAAATCATCAGGTACTGTACGGCGTCCCCCCTCCCTCCGTCCTCTTCTTGAATGCGGGCCGAGGCGGGGAGCGGCTTTGAAATCAACCTCCCGATCAGGTTTAGTTCCTTTCCAGACCCGCTCCGTCAACCCATAGCGTCATCCGGCCAATCATCCGGGTGCCCTGTCGTTCATCTTCAAGGTCATGGTCAACTGGAAGCTTGCGATAGTAGCTCCGACAGCTTCACCTCTGTCCTTCAAACCACCAGACAACAGCAACGTCACAATTGCCTATGTCGTTCAACCAATAGCCTGCACATCTAGACCATGTCCTCGAAGTCGCGCTGGGCCAACGACGATGACCCAGAGACGGAGGCCATCCTCGCCCAACGCAAACGCGAAAAGGAAGAGAAACGACGCGCCAAAGCCGAGAAACAACGTCAGCTAGAAGAACAGCAACAACAACAACAGGCCAAACTTCAGGCTCAATCGCAAGATCCCGATTCCACACAGACCGACGCGCCTCCACCCTCCAAGCGTCGCCGCCTCTCCAACGACCACGACCAAGCCCGACAATCCCCGCAACCATCCAAACCCAACTCCTCCGACCCTAAGACCGCCGCCGAAGGGAACAACCTCCTCACACTCCCAACCTCCGAATGGGGCCCCTGTCGCCATGTCGACAACTTCGAGCGCCTCAACCACATCGAAGAAGGCAGTTACGGCTTCGTCAGCCGCGCCAAGGACATCACGACCGGCGAGATCGTGGCACTCAAGAAACTCAAGCTGGAGCCCACCTCCCCGGAGGGATTCCCGGTGACGGGGCTCCGAGAGATCCAGACCTTATTCGAAGCCCGACATCAGAACATCATTGAACTCCGGGAAGTAGTGATGGGGACCAAGATGGATGAGTACGTTTTTCACTTTTGTGTCAAACACACACTACGCAACGCCATGAAGACCCCTCTCCCTCCCTCAAATCATCCCCAAACCACTCCCATATACTAACACGATTCCCCCAAACCAGAGTCTACCTAGTCATGCCCTTCGTCGAACACGACCTCAAGACCCTCCTCGACGACATGCGCGAGCCCTTCCTCCCGTCCGAGACCAAAACCCTGCTCCTCCAGATCATCTCGGGGCTGGACTTCCTCCACGCGCAGTGGATCATGCACCGCGACCTCAAGACCTCGAACCTGCTGATGAACAACCGCGGCGAGATCAAGATCGCTGACTTTGGCATGGCGCGCTCCTACGGCGACCCGCCGCCGCCCAAGCTGACCCAGCTGGTCGTCACCCTCTGGTACCGCGCCCCGGAGCTGCTGCTGGGCACCGATCGGTACGGCCCGGAGATCGACCTGTGGAGCATCGGGTGTATCTTCGGGGAGCTGCTGGGCAAGGAGCCCCTGCTGCAGGGCAAGAATGAGGTCGATCAGGTGTCCAAGGTATGATGCTTGCCCACATTCATCCACTCCTTCAACAAAAAAAAGCAAGAAGTTGACGACGATCCAAATAGATCTTCGCCTTAACCGGGCCCCCAACCACCCAAATGTGGCCTGAATTCCGATCCCTCCCTAACGCCAAATCCCTTCGACTCCCGCCGTCGTCCTCATCCTCAGCAGCCCCGGGCGGTAGTGGTGCCGCTAATCCGCCGCTCTTACCGCGCGGCAAGTTCCCCTACTGACCAACGAGGCCTACGACTGCTGTCGTCGCTCCTGGCGCTGAACCCCAATGCCCCGTCGTCGGCCAAGCCAGTGTCTGGCCCATCCGTACTT